CCATCAAGGGGATAATTTCTCTGAGAACTCTAGAAGATAATTCTGGGCATGGGAAGTTGAAACTCATTTCAACTGACGAGGCTCAGTGAGAACAGTGTAGGTGACACCAGCGGCAAGCTAAACATGTGAGGACTGGAGCTCCCCTGCTGTGACCAACGCTCATCAAGCAGCCACACGTGGCACTAGTGTAACCCATTTTCCCTGGGGAATCCCAGAGCAGAGATGGCGACCCTCTTGCCCCATATCACACTGCTGCCTAAAGGTTCCCAATGGTGTGCATCCCAAACCCTTTTCCTCTCTGCTGAACTCCTGGTCTTCAGGCCGGCCTGGGTCAGCAGAAGTCTGGGGTGGGAGAGCTGCTGCACTGCGCTGCATGGAGAGCCTGCTGGGTGATGTCCTCTGACCACGGTTCCTTCCTTGCTGATGAGTTTCACTCTTGTTCTCAGTGGATTGGGGGGGATTCCAACCTGTGGTGAAAAATCTCTGCCTCTGCAGCCATGGGGCACGCAATGGCTGGGCCTGCAGGTCCCTGGACTGATGGGAACAAGCAGCGGAGAGGCCCAGGGTGGAGGACTGTGCCCCTGGGAGCTGCCCACTCAGAAGACACATGGCCGTCCCCGGTGCAGGCTCTCTGGTTAGCCAGGCGCACCCCCTGTGCTGAGCCCTGACTCCGATGATGCCTGTTTTCTTTCTGGTCTGAGGTTTTACCACGTGCCCCCCTGGGAGTGAAGGCTTAATGAGGACGAGTGGAATGACTTGGGGTTTGATCTGGGAAGGTTATAAGAAGTGACCTCAAATGCAGGTGAATGTGGAATGGACATCAGCAGGTCACTCTGCCTTCGGCTTTTTGATCAACTGAGTAGTTGGGGCTGGATCAACCCTTCCTGTCCTTTGGAAAGGAAACTGGGTTTGGGATGAACCAGCCTTCATTCTGCACCTCCCTGTGGCAACTTGGGGACTGTCGCTGTCCTATCCAAACCTCAGCTTCTCCAGATGCACCTACAGGGAAGTGAATCACTCAGTGCAGGAATGTACATTCAGGAATCCCAGGTCTCAGGGCTAGGATCAGCTCTCTGTTACAGCTGTCCCTTAACAAAATCCACATCTGAAGTCGGTGATTGTTAGCCTTGGCCTTTGGTATGTGTGCAGAAGACTCCAAGCAGAGCCGAGCTGTAGGGTGGGTGCCTGCAAGACAAGCCAGGGTTTTCCTGAGGGTTTTCTTGAGCCACACTCAGTCTACCAGGGCCAGAGCACTCTGTTAGGACCATAGCAAAATCTCAGTAATGTTTCTGGATCTGTGCGGCGTGGCCTCTACTCCCCAGGGAACTGGACACATTGACCTCCTGTGTGCCATTATTAGATGTTGAGACCTTAAGCTTTAGAGAAAGTCAGAGAAAGGTTCACGAGGGGTTTGTGTAGCTAACATTAAGTCGGGACAACAGGCAAGAACCGCGCCCCTAAGTGCTGAAGACCGTTCTTGTTTCCTTATAAACCAAGGCCACAGTGGCTTCCAAGTATGTTTGAGAGAAAATTTGCCAACTTTCCCCTGTAGCTTGGCTATGACCCATTACCTCATTTTAAAATGAGATCAAAGCCTATGCAAATTCAAAAGTGGCAAACAACACTGCATTGTTCTTGACAGATGTTCTCAGCCCAAATGGACCATTAATAACAATTACGGCATAAGGTTATGGGAAAATAGCTATCGTAATGGATCAGTAATTTAGACAGGGGTATTTTGAGGATCCACCCTCTTTTGAGAATTGCACTTGAGAATCCTTCAGAAGGGGGGTTAATTACAAGGAGTTAAACTGAACAGGACAGTTCTTGGCTCCCAAGCCAGCTAGGTTTCAGGGTCTGCTGTTTAGCCATCTTCCCCAAAACTCGGTCTGAAGCTGAGGAGTGGGGTAAGAGGACTGTGGGACCTGACCTCACAAGGTTTGGGATCCATGCAGTCGGAGCCACCTGTGTGACTGACTCGGCAGGTCCCAGATCTGATGACTTGGTTGGTTACTGCAGCCCCAAACAGAATCCCCTTCCAGACCCTAACACCACCCTCCGTTTTCATAACCTGGGCCGACTCGACTCCTCACAGCAGCAAAGCCAGCTGTTACGGGCTCGAACCTGCTTGTGGTTAGTGGCACTGTTAACGGTTGACTTTGGTCATCCTCATAGCGGTGATGATCTATGCAGAGATCCATTTATTACCTGAAGCATTTTGGACCGATTTTAATCATCCATCTTGATGTCAGTTAACCACGACGTCCATTGTGGGGAAAGAGGATTTGAGGGTCTAGCTAACACGCTCATTTTCACCTTCCATGGTAAATCGAGTTTCCAGAGTTCTAGATTTAAAATATATTCCTCAGGTATGAAACTCAGTGGGATTTTTCCCATTGTTTATTCTTTCATGACAAACAGAATGTTGAAATGATACTCAAAGTTTTATGATCATTGTAGTAATACTGTGTTTAATAGTGTAACAGTTCTTCAAGAGTTTCCCACTTTTTCATTACAATACCATGATTAGCAAATTACCCTTTATTAGTAATACCATGCTCCTGCGCCCCCCTGCAGGAGAGAGGTGTTTGATTGAATTCAGTGCCACATGATTTCGTTCCTTGGGCTGCTCTTTGAAAAATGTATTAAGTCACGTTCACTTTTGAAAGTGAACATTCAAGTATGAAATTTCACTTTTGCGTCAGTTATGAGTTAAAATGGATACGTGGCAGATCGTTTCCTGTTTCTTTTCAAAAACATGATAAATGGGAAGGTAAAGATTTAATTTTCTCCTATCAAAAAGTATGGCAAATCTGGAAAATAGGGAAACGAGGCATTTTCATGTCAGCAGCCCCTGCCCTGGCCTTTACGGTAGCCGCGGATCAGCGCTGTTCTCTGGGTGTTTGAACATCTTGACGCCAGCTTGACTTTTATGGGAAATGAGACTGGAGGTAAAAGTTAGCGAGTGTAGTGTGAAGAGCTGATTTCACGCTCTGTTCTGTGGGAAAGTAGCACGTCACTCAATCTCTGGTCCTGCTCCTTTTGTCCCCCAATTTATTGCCACTTTCTGGGAGTGTGGGGCGTTCATGCCCCTCCCCTTCTGGGCTTCCAGGGGAGCTGCTGTTCGGCTGTCATTGGAGAAGTGATGGCATCTCTTCCAAAGCAAGATTTATTCCATCTCAGACATTTGAGATGGAAATGCACCGAAAATCATTTTCTAAGCTATAAGTTGAGACCATTGCTGTGGCTAGATATCGAAGGGTATAAATCAATTAAGAATTATTGGGTTTGGATTCCCTTTGTGCATTGACTCAGTGGCAAATCTAATAGGAAATACCTAATATTTATAATCTAGTTCATGAAGCAGGGATTACCTATATCCTTTTTAACCTGCATGGAAAAGTACAAGGTTATCTTATATCAAAAAGCAAGAATTGACTAATCCAAAGAGATCATTTCAAGGACAAAAAATCTAGATATCAAGGGCTCCCTGGGACATTCTTAATGCCAACAAGAATGACGACAGCAGGAGTTTATAATACACTGGATTAATTTAACAAATCCACAAGTTCATAGGGTTCCCAGAAAATATAAAGAGAACCGAGGTGCAGCGGGTTTTACAGAGGAAAAGCAGTGGATAAATACAGGAACAATGAAAGAAATAGAAAGTTTTGATTTTGAAGCTCCCATTGTATTAATTCCGATTGTGAAGTTCCTTGCCTTCACTCAGGGTGATCATGAGGGGCATGATGGGGACAGAGGACCTGTCTTGTTGAGTCAACCTTTCAGAAATAGAGGGATTTCCCATCAGCTGTGACGCTCACAGATGTACCCATAATCACACTTTTCTGGAAGCTTCTGGGGAGATCTGTGTTAATGTGGACAGCAGTCTTTATTTCAGGCCATTCAAGAAGGTCTGAAAATATAATTTTACTTTTTCCACTTCCATGCAGCAAGCATTTCATGCTCATGGAACAGGTCTACGATGGATCCCGACGGCTGTGTGAGATTGGTGTTGAAGAGCGCGCCTGTGCAGACGCAGTGGTGGCAGCCTTTCTCAGCAGCCGCACTGTGCGGAGGGGGCGGAGGTGGGATGGGGGCTGCCTTCCCTCTGGGGAGATTCCGGCCATCGTGGGCACGAAGTGGGGAGCCCTGTGTTCCCATTCTGCTTTACGTTGTGAGCCACTGAAACAAGAGCTTATGAGAAAGCCATTGGCAGGTGGCTGGAGTTGGCGGCCTTCCCTACGGAGTCCCCGGAGGTTGGGGAGGGTCCCCGACAGCCCATGCTGCTCTCACAGCCCGGATTCGTTGTTTTTCTACGGCTGGAGATGTTATTTTTTTTTTCATTTATCAATTTCAAAATAATAAAATTTCCTATCAACTGTGAATGACGGACCTGGGAGTTTAAAAGTATTTTAGTAGAGATTCAACATAAAATGTAAGGTGACCTAAATTCCCACTAGGGAACCGAGTGTCGTAACTGTGCCAGTGTACCCATAATCACACTTTTCTGGAAGTGTCACGGCCTTGCCTCAAAAGCTCTGAGAACCGAGTGGGCAAGAGAGTTCAGTGTGGCTGTGCCCTAGAGTACAGTGGGGGCACGGCGTGTCAGGACCTCAGGGGGCTCCTGTGGGCCCACAGATAGGCGCTGTCCCCTCTGTTGCTGGGATGACCCTGTGGCCCCAGAGCTGATGTTGTCACCAATTCCCAGGTGGGGTTGATGACAACATCCATGTGGGCTTGGTCAAGGGCGTTGGGGACAAACTCGGCCAGAGCCGTGTCTGTGTACAGTGTCTGCAGATGTTCAAGCTGTCACGGTGCTTCTGCTGGCTGCCTCGAGCCCTGACTGCGCTGGCCCCTGCTGGCCCGTCCCTTGGCTAGGAAGGCTCCTGTGTCCTGGGTGCTTCTGTTTGTGAATGGTGTCCCCTCCCCTCCTAGCACTGCTGTGGCTTTACCTCTCTCCCATTCATGTGTCTCTCCTTTCTCTTTGCTGCATGGAGACTCTCTGCTGCACAAGCGTAAGTACTTCTGGTGGCTCTGCGGCTTCTGGCTGGTCTCGTTGACCTTCCTGTGTCTGTTTGCCTCTGTGCTGCCTGGCTGGCCTCCCAGGGGACTGGAGCACCCCGTCCATCTGCAGATCCTGAATGAAACAGGCGACAGTTTACAGAGTCGAGATTGGTCCTTACAAGACGGTCCAGCTGGTGACACGGGCCCTGAATTTAAACCACCCCAGCTGTGCGCCTGAGAGCACTTGGGTACTCATAGAGAGGCGCCAGCCCTCAAGGGGGACCGGCTGCTCACAGTGAAAAACAGACACCAGGACTAACCTCTCTACGTCTTTTCTGATTCTTGTAATATCACTTGTTTTGAATTATAGAATTATAGAAAGTTGGCATCATGATTTGCATCTTGTACTGGAAAATTTTCCTAATCTGCTTCTAAATTGATACCATTTTGGTTCTTTAGCCTACGGAAGGAAAAAGTAATTATGGATTCCTGAGCTTGGAATGAGAGTATTATTTATTACTCTTTGTGCACACTTGGCAAAAACAAAGAAGAAAACAACCTCACCATTTTCTCATGGTGATATAAGCAATTTAACTCTCCTTATAAAAAAAAAAGAGCATGACTAGCAATACTTATTAAAAGTGGGTTTGACAGGGAGAAAAATGTGACTCTTTACGAGGTTCCAACATGCGCATGTAACTCATGGTTAAAGTGGACACATCTCTACTGAGCTACGTGCAGAAGAGTTTTAAATCCATTATAGAAATCGAATCAAATGAGTAAGATTTCAGAGTAACGTGGAGTTGGTGCTACTTTCAGATTCTTGGGAAACAGCTGTGGGCAGGGTGGGGATTTATTGATTTCAAGACAGGAGAGAAGTCTGTGTTTAGGCTTTCCTTCTAAAATTCCATTTTTAAATAAAGGTTTAACACAATTTTTCTCCTATTTCTTCAGGATATTAAATATTGAAAATTGCTTCTTACTCAAAACATGCATTTTAAAAGTTAGCTGTGTCTAGTTGTTGACAGGGTTGGCATGAGTGGGTTTATGAAGGAGCCACTTGGAACGTGCACCTCCTCTGCGTCAGCTGCTGACCCGCATCTGTGGCCCTGCCACTCTGAATGCGCCTGGTCTCGTCAGCTGACTTGGGAAATAGGCATTGACAAGGGCCCAAGGAAGGTCAGCCTGGGCACATTAGCCCTTCCATTCTGGAACAAAAAGAGGAGAGAGCGAACGGTTCTAGGAAGATGGTGAGGACAGGGTTTCCAGGAGCAGTCGGTCAGCCCCACCGCTGTGGGGAGGAGGAGTGAGAGGGATGCCCATCAGTGGGATTTCTGGAGGACCAGGAACACTGGCCCTTGAGTACACACCTGGTGGAGAACCCAAGTTCATTCTCACTCTGCCTCCTGCTTTGAGTTCCCACGTCATGGGATTATCAATGAGAATGGCCAGTAAGAACGACCAAGTCCAATTCTGTGGGAAGAAAAAAATCCCCAAGGAAGGAAAGGAACATATAAGAGACAAGATTCAGTTTTTTCCCCCTCTGTTATTGTAATTCAATCCTATGAAAAAAGGAGATTGAAGCCGACTGTATTCTTAATACCAATTACAACAGGTAGCCTGATTGCAAGTCATCAGCCGGACCCCGCCTGGCCAAACTTCAGAACTAGAAGATGAACATACCCTGAAAGAGCACTATGGGCAACACAGTTAGACGTTACTTACATTTGTAAAGAGCTTATAAAATACAAGAAAGCTAGAGCTAGAGGGCATTTTTCTGATATTCAAAATTTTTATTCTCTGGTTTGAGGTGTCCGAGAACAAAATCCTCGGGAAGATATTAGATCCCCCTTTTGACTGATGTTGGCCACTCAGAATCCTGGTTTTGTGTTTCTTAATATGTCTCTAAAATAGCTAACTGGCCCACTTACAGACGGGCATTAATGTGCAAAAGAGTTTCTATATATGTATGCTTATGCTTATATTTATATTCTCACATAAAGTTATTCTTACGTATTTGAAATGTTATAATTTTCATGTATTTACATGTATTTGGTGTCCATTATAGACACTTTACCGAGAGGGAAATTTGAGCCAAATTATTTTTGCCCATAAATACTTTCTATAAAATCTTAACCAAGAGACACAGGGAAAAAAAATTGGAAGATACCTTTGGTTCATGCCCTTTTAAACTTCTTTCCTATTTTCCTTTTGACTATAAATGAAATTGCCTGGAAATCATATCACAGACTCTTTCCTGATCCTCTTCCTACCCAGTGTGCACAGGGTGGGTGGAATTCTGAACTCCCAGCTCAACACAGCCAACACCTTGCTACTTGCAACTCCTGAGAATTCATTCAGGCTGCACTTCTGAACAGAGCAGTGGGCCACTCTTCTCGGCCAGCCGAAGCACGTGGGCACACTGCCTTCAGACGATCCCTTAGCAGCTGCACCATGGGGACCTTGCTCTTACTCAGCCTTGAGACCTCTTGCTTTGCAGACCCTGTCCCTCAGGTTGTCTGCCTTTAACACAGCCTCACAAGAAGCAGTTCGGAAAGTTTCATTTTGTATTGCAGGAAAACCGTTCAGGATTTAAATACAATTGCTCATGTTTTTTTCTCAACAATAAATAATAGCAAAAGAATGTTATTAAAGCTGTCATAATTGCTAAAACCACAAATGTTTCCCAATCATGTGAAGTTTTTGAGGAAGCCTTGAATGAAAACCTGTTCAATCAGAGTATCCAACTAAGTTCAGTTATCTCGTAATTTCTACAAACACTAGTTTGGCATCTCTCTCCTCCGTCTGCCTGTGCGCCTGCAGCCAGCAGTGTGGTGGCCGACCCTCCCTGGATGTCCCTGGCCCTCCTCCTTGGACGACGTCCTTGCACCTCTCTGACTTGGACTTGGCACTTGAGGTCATTGTGCAGCCGATGACAAAGTTTCCTTCCAGCTTTGGCACTGTGTGATCCTCTTGAAGGACAGATCATGTCTCTCTGGGGGTAGAAGCTATTGCTGGGCAGGTTCTCCTGAGTTTTAGCCTGGATTGGGTTTGGGTCTCCTCGTTTCAAGGACCAGCGGAACCCAGGACATCCTGCTTCGAGCCTCAGCGATGGGCTTTTGATTCTTGGTGACTTTTCCTAACTGGTCTTTGCCTGTGAAGATCCAGATTTTGGTAGCAAACGGTGAAACAGAAAGTTAAACTGCTTAAATCATCCGAGTGCTGCTGGGTGCTGCCTCTGTGAGAACACTGCTGTTAGCCTTCCCGACTGGCCCTTGTGTCTTGGAGCCCACCCGCCCTGCCACCTCCTCATCCTCATTTACTCGGGGTCCAGCTCGCATCGAGACCCCCTGCTGCTTGCTGTTTTTTCTGACTGTCAGTTCAGATGGTCGGGACTGGGGAACAGGACAGAGTTCGGTGCATGGTTTGAGAGAAGTGCAGACGTTTAGAGGTTAGCCCTTCAGCCCTGAGCCAGGCCCCCGGTGCACTGAGCCCCCTGCAGAGCAGTGGAGCCGGTCCTGGTGGTCTGGACTGTGTTGGAGAGGGAAGGCCGCGTCCTGTGCTAAGTGCCCTTTGTGTCTTGTTGCTAGATGACGCCTAAATCCAAGAGGAAGAGCATCCACAGCCGAATGCTGCGGCCTGTGTCCAGGGCCTTTGGTGAGTACCGTGTGACTTGTGACCAGGGAACAGCCCTCTGGGGGACGTTTCTTAGGTATCCTCTGCGTGGGTGACAACTGAGACCTGGGTGGTTTGCAGCTGGGTGTTTGCTGCTCCCCGATAGACTCACAGTGGCTTTCAGGAGTTTCCTAGCCCTCTGTCTGCCTTGTGCTCTGACCTCAGGCCTGGTTTTATTTTAGAAATGGAGTTTGACCTTGATAAAGCCCTGGAAGAGGTGCCAATTCACATCGAAGACCCACCATTCCCGTCCGCCAGGCAGGAGAAGCGGAGCTCAGGGTTCATCTCCGAGCTGCCATCGGAGGAGGGCAAGAAGCTGGAGCACTTCACCAAGCTGCGGCCCCGGAGGAACAAGAAGCAGCCGCCCACGCAGGCCGCGGTAGGTGCCTGTCCCCTGGCCCTGTCCTTCCTGGGACTGTGCAGGCCCCCAGGGCCTCTCTGCACCTGGGGCGTGTGCAGAGCTCTGGAGCAGGGCTCTGGGAAGTCCCCAGTATCAGATACAGCGCAGGCAGCTGGGTCTGGGCTCGAGGACCTGGGGGAAGAGAGGCCACCTGGGCGTGCGCTCGTGAAGTGTTTGCAGCTCATCTTGGCGGGAGCCCCTGCCATCCCCCCTGCTCTGGGTCCTGAGCCTGATGACCCCCCAGTGCCATGTGGTGATGAGGGCCCAAGGGGAGCATTGGCCTGCTCAGCAGCTGCTCCTCCTGTGGCAGGAGGACGAGCCTGAGGTTCATCCCCCTCCATGAAGCTCATCCCCCTCCATGTGGCTCACCCCCCCACCCCTGTGCGGCTCACGCCCCCCTCCGTGTGGCTCAAACCACCCCCTGTGTCCCCCCCACTCACCCTCCCCCACCCCACCCCCCTTGGTCCACGCCCCCCCCTCCTGTGTGGCCACTCTGCTTCACAAAGGTCGCGACTTCTTTCCTGTCACGTGCTGCTCTAAACCTTCCTTCTCACTCCTCACCGAGGTCCCTCCTGCCCCGTCCTGAGCCACGGCTCCTCCACCACCTGTCGCCTCGTGTCCCAGCAGCGACTGCACACAGAAGCTCCGTCCTGGGGAAGGTGAAGTCCCCCTGGCCCCTCCACCTGGGCTGTCACAGTGCCATCAGCCTGTCTGGTCCCTGTGGCTCACCTCCGCGTGTCCAGGAATCTGCTTGTCTCCTGAGCTCGGGGGCTGCCGACGCCCCGGGCTGGACTGTTTAGAACCCAGGCCTCTTGTGCCGCCCGTCCTCCCTCTCGTGGCCTCTCCCCACGGGCGGCACTGCAGACGAGCTAGAGGCCGGGTGTGACCCTGGTCTCCCCTGACCCGCCGTCCTCACCCTGTGCTGGAGCCCGTCCTGTCCTTGTGCTGTGTCCCTTTCCTCAGTGCTTCCCTCGGCAGAGCCACTCCAGGCAGTGCACATGTCCACCTGACAGGACTTCCTCCAGGAAGCCCTCCTGCCTCTTGTCATCATAGGCTGGCTGTGTGCAGTGTACAGCCCCAGCAACCCTCCAGGAGCCTTTCCTGGAGGTGAGCTCACGGCTCCCGTGCTGTGGTCTGAGCCTGCTCCTCCTCACCTATGGATTTGGGGTAGGCAGGGCGATGGCTTCCTCTCCTTGGCCATGGACTCAGTGCTCCTGTGGGTGGAGTACAGAGTGCCCACTGGTCCTTCTGGGTACGTGGGTGGACGGTCAGGACCGTGGTCCACTTCGCCTGTAGATTTTAGGTTTCTTCAGTGCACTATTCCATAACCTTAAAGGAATGAGCCTTCTACATAAGGGAGAGGCCACTCCGGGAGGGAGAAAGAGCTGCCCGCACAGTGGCCTCAGTGGGCTGGACTGTACCAGGTGGTCCTTTCTCCTGGGCCCTGTCCCTGGGGGGAACAGCTGACAGTGGAGCTGGCGTGGCCCCAGTCTCCCTGCAGGCAAGTGGGGGCTCTTGGAAACAGGGAATTCTGTGTTCTGTTTTCTTCATACGTTTAAAAAAAGCAAGAAGGAATGTCCACAGCTGTAGCAGAGTCCTGGGGAGAAGCCGGCCAGCCCCGTGGGGAGACGCCCTTCCTTGCCTGCCGCGGGGACCAAGCTCAAGCACCTGGGACAGCCAGGTTCCCGGGAGAAGACTTGTTTAAGTCCCCATGACGAGGGGCCTTCAGAAGGGAGAGGCCTGTGTGCTCTGGGCTGGGGCTGGAGAAGAGGTGGGCAGCTGTGCGTGAGCGCCCAGGGCTCGGATCTCATGGCCACGGCCTAGAGCAGCGGGGCCGTGCGTCTCAGGGGTCAGGACGTCCCCTTCCTTCAGGCACAGCGAGGCACCTCTGGAATGGCGGTTTTCATCCTCCTCTGACCCTCCAAAAGCAAAGACTGATTTTTTTTTAATTACAAGAAATAAAACAACTTGCCAGTTTTTTCCACTTAAATCAAGTGTACATAGGGACGCTTAGAGGGAGGGTCCACTGTAGCCAGCCGGCCCAGAGTGCAGTCCCCCTCTGCAGTGGCACAGCAGTTGTGACCCATTGAACCTGGACCAACTTGGTCCTGAAATACCAGCGGTGAGCACGTCATTCACTTGTCATAAGAAATAAATGGAACGAAGTCACTCCATCGACGCCCAGTGCACACGCTCCCTGGGCCACCTCGTGCTCCTCCCCTTGGCTTTCAGAGCTGCCTGGCCTGGGTCCCCTGCCACAGCCTGTGCCCCCTGCCGCCCCACACCCAGGGGGCGGAGGTGGAGGAGCCTGCTGCCCAGCGGCCACAGGCTCCAGGCACAGTGCTGCGCCCCAGCCCAGGGAAGGCGCGCCCCAGCCCTGTTGAAGCCCATGAGCCCTGGCAGTACCTGCCCCTGAGTGTTCAGAGCTGCAGTGTGAGGAGGCCCCTGCTGCAGTCCCTAGAACCCCCTCGACAACCCTCATCGGGCCATTCCTTCCGAAGCTGCTGTTTTCTAAAAGCTCTAGTTGTTGGCAGAATGTGTTTGTGTTGTTGGGAATCTTTCCCTGTAGTTTTAACTCTGCCGTTTCATGTCAGTCTCCTGTAGTAGTACATGATACTTCAGACTCTTCTGCTTAGCAGACTTAGAAATATTTGTGGGTCACTGCTGAGGTCTTTCCTTCTTCAGTCTAAAATGTCCTCATCTCTTTTCATGCTCCTCCTCGATTCTTTCTGAGATCTATTTGCAGGTCGTTCTGCTCTGTTGTAATAGACTGCACTGTGGCACCCCGTACCAAACAGGGTGCTTTGTAGGACTGGCCATCCTCCTGAGCCTCCTCCTCCGAAGACTATGCTTCTATTCATTCAACCACAGGCTGCGTCCACCTTTTCTGAACTAACTCAGAAGCCCTATAGCCTTCTGGTGGCATTTCTTTGAAATGAAATGAGCTGTGTCCACCCCCAGTTGCAAGAGGATCTAGTAAATGGATGTTCAGTTGATCACATGCATACTCCTCGTGACTAAGTCAGCGAGAGAGGGTACGTGGATAGACGCACGGCCTTCATTTTATTTCCTTGGGTTCTTCATTCTGGACTTGCTTCCTCAGCTCATCGATTTCCATGTGGGTCATGACGTTTTTCTGTTTTGATGGACTGCTGGGCTTTGTTTGTCAGTATCTAAATAGGATTTTTGCATCTGTGTGAAAATGAGAGAATCCTGTAAGTTTTCTTCCCTTTTCTTGTCTGGGCTGTTTCAGAGTTATGCTGTGTTCATGAAATTACTCAGGAAGCTCAGTCTCCTTTCCTGGTCTCTGGTATGGCCTGTGTGTAATGGAAATCATTCCCCTTCTGGGGAGCCATCTGGGCGCAAGCCCGTCCCTGTGCGGCGAGCCTGTGGGATCTGTGTGGAGAGGGTTTACTGGGATTTGATTTGTTACAGATCCACTCAGGTTGCCCAGTGCTTCCTGAGATCATTCTGATGTACTTCAATATCGTCCATTTGGCCTAATGGCTCATTCAGTTGTTTATAAAATTCTCTGGCGAGTTCTAATCTCTTTGGTATCAATAGCTATGTTTCTCATTTCTAGTAAATCTTAAACAATTTTGTGGGTTTTTTTATTAGTGTTTTTCAAAGAGTCAACTTTTAGTTTATCCTCTTGAGTTTGTTAATTTTTGTCTTCCATCATCTTCATTTGATTTCCTTGGGGCTTTTGTTTCTTGATTTGTTCCTCTGCTCATTAATTTCCATGTTTCTCGCCACCTAATGTATGCATAGACAATTCAGCGATTATTGCTAATCAGCGTGCTCTGAGCTTATCTGTTGGCAGAGTTATCAATGCCCCTAATTGTCTGGACTCCCCTCCTGCCCGCGTCTCTACACCCGGCCTGTGAAGACGTAGTTTTTGTACCTCCTTGTCAAGACCCGGGGCAGTGCCTCCAGGTTCCCCTGGTGAATTCTCCTTAATGGTCCTGGCAGAGGGGAGCAGAGGGTGTGCGTGGCTGTCCTCATAACGGCCAGCTGCTCTTCCAGCACTCACAGTCACCCTCTTACAAAGGGAAGTCCACCTTCCTGACTTCTTAGACACCAGCAGCAGCAGCAATTCCAGTTTCAGCGGCAAACGCCTCCTCAGCCCCGGAGCACGGCCGCCCTGCCCCAGAGGCTCTGCTCTCTCTCCCCACAGCCATGCTGCTCTCTTCAGTCTGATGCTTCTTCTTTCTGACAGTAAAGACCGGAGTCAAATGTTTTCCTTTTGCTAGAAAATGAGCTAAAGCAGGCGCCACGCGTGGCCTTGAACTCCTCTTCCGACTCCAGCCCTTCCAGGCTCCAGTTCCCTGCTGCCCGTCTCCTGGGCGGAGGCTCCTCCGGCTTCCTCTGGGGCTGCTGACACTCCCACCGGCTGCTCCCGTCCTTCGTCCTTCATCCCTGCGCTGGCAGAGTTGTCTGGGGCGAGGTGCAGGGAAGCAGGTGGCTGCTCAGCTCTGCGCCTCCATCCCTGCTCCCCTCCCTGTTCTCCACGTCCCCAGGGAGCCCTCATGCCAGCTGTGACTGTTGCAAAGCAAGGAAGGAAAGGGCTGAGGGCAGGAATCATGCCAGAAAAACCTAGGGTTCTTATGGAGAGTCACTGGAGGGGCGGCTGGAAGGGATCCCCATGTCAGGCCACAGGCCTGGGGCAAATCGCCATCAGCCAGGCAGCCTGGTGCTCCCTCCCTGTCCCATCTGTGTCTCACCACAACCAGGATGAAGCTCTTTCCTTTTGGGCCCCAAGGCCAGTCGGGAGGGTAAAGTGATGGCCTGCAAAACCCACGTGCCCCTCAAGCTCCTCCTCCTGCAGGGGCTGCCACCGCTGCTGTTCTGCTGCTTTCTCGAAGGAAAAGTTCTCGAAGGAGAAGTGATGATACGAGCAAGTTCGGTGCTACTGTATCTTTTGTGGCCAAAATGAAAGTTACTCTGAGTTTCATTATCTCTGTTACCGAGTGAAAAAGCTCAACTCACCTTGCTGCATGAGGTCACCACCAGGCTTCCAGGCATGTCCCCGGGCCTGCTTCTTCCCGTCTGTGCTGTGGACCTGGCTCCCAGGCCAGGAGATTGTGTCTGGTCCCTCCTGGCCCTCACCTGGTCCCTGGCGGCCGGCGGTGCCCGTGTGCTGACTGGCGTTGGGTGTGAACCGCATCCCGTGTTTATTTTGCAGGTCTGTGCTGCCAACATAGTCTCCCAAGATGGAGAACAGAACGGTCTTATGGGGAGAGTGGATGAAGGTGTAGATGAATTTTTCACCAAGAAAGTGACCAAAATGGATTCCAAGTGAGTTCGGAGTCATTTCACTAACCATATTACTTAATTCACACTTGAATTACTAACGATTACAATCAAGCTTAGGATTAAGTCTCTTTTTATGTATGGATCCACTATTCTGTGAGGTTTTCAGAATACGATCTCCTAGCCAGCAGCAGATTCTCCGGCCTGCGCTGTGAGCCGAAAACTCTGGAGGTGAGGCCTCGCAACTGTTTCCCTAAGACCCTAGGCCACCTGGAGGCCACCCAGCCCAATCAGAGTTTCTCTGCCTTTCCTATTAATAAGATGGAGTTTTCTTAGCATAAATTGAAACACTAGAGCCTTTTAGCACAATTTGCAACAAATTATTTCATCTACAACTAAAATGCAGATCCATTCCAAAATATGCTCTTAATGTTGATTTTTTGTGTGCAGAGTGTTCTTCACCTGGAGAGATCAAATTTGGGGAAGAGTTTGAACCATACTGATAAGCTGGGGGCAGGCTGGGGATGGGGAAGGAGCTAGTCCCTTCTGTAGAATCTTGCCTCTGTGGGATGGTCAGGTGGAAACAAGTTAAATTTTTTATCCCTAGAAGTCTCTCTGACTGAGTGGCGTAAGCGGCAGGACCCGATTATCTGTCGTTTCTGAGACAGACCTTGAAGCTTCGCAACTACCCCTGGTAAATTCTGTCCCATCTCTAAGAGCCACGTTCAGTGCCGTTATCCTTGGCACTTTCCCATGACTGCTCTTTCCCCCGTAGTGACTGTCTCTCCGCTGACCTAATACACCGTTTTAATCCTTTGTGCACATCTGTTAGAGTGCACTTGATTCCTCGAGAGTCTGTTTAGGTTTTAATTCTTCCACAGCACGGGGAATCGATGGACACATTTTCCACATAAAAGATTCAAGGAATTCTAGCATTGGCTGAGCGAATGGAAAGCCCCTTGTAGGTGGCTTTCAAGTCTGTTTTTCCAAACAGGGTTCTGTTCTTCAGGAGCAGCCCTGGGTCTTGGTTTTCACTCTAAGGCAGTAGTCTGCCTGCAGTCACTGCCCGCGAGTTCCGCGAGACCCCCCGACCGTCTCCGTCACACCTTCTTAAACTTCAGATCCACATTCAGTTAGAGAGGAGGCTCCTGAGCACTGGTGTGGCCCTCCCCTGGGTAACGCTTCTTTCTTCCTAACTTCTTCGGAAGGAAAGGTGGGGAAATTGAGAAGGCACAGAGCCGTCTCCTGCAGACACTGCTCCGGAGAATTCTGGTCTTGTCCCGTGCACAAATAGAACTACTAGACGCCTCAGTCTCCATCACGTAGTGGTGGAACCTAGGAAAACTGGTGATCGTTTTCATTTCATTTTGTTATAAAAAATAGGTTGTTTGATATTAAAGGGCAGCGCCTAGGTACAAGTCATGGGTAGTGTGAACAGAGTTTGAGAATCAGAGTGAAGCATGCTCCTACCCCGCTTTAAAGGCCGCTTGTTTCTTTCCCCCTCATCTTCCCGTGTCTGCTCCTGTGGCCGCTTGTCTTGCTCCACCGTCCTTCATGATAACCGTTTCCAGGTTGGGGTAGTAATCAGCTGCTCGCTTCTGGCCCCGGTGGTGACGGTGCAGTCTCACGCATCGTCACGCTGGGCCGCTGTTCTCACCCCACACACACTCTGCCCCCGCCAGCATGGCCAGGCAGGCAGTATTCAGTGTCCCCCTCCCTCTAGCCGGGTAACATCCACACCTGGGTCAGGGAGTGCATGAGGACTGGTTTCTTTTCTTCCACGACTTTTTCATTTTCCCTCGGGCTGATGAGTGTCCCTCTTCCCTGTGCTTAGTGTTCTGTGTTCCTGTCCCTGACTTGCCCTCTGTTCCCAGTGAAGGCACCAACCCCGTCTGGACTTACTCAGGTGTGCTCAGTCTCCTCCTGCAGCACCTCTCGCCCGCACCTGCCTGGCCCCAGGGCAGCCTCCGGCCAGCTCCCTGCTGTGTCCCTGGGACTGCTCACCGTCCCCCTGTGCCAGGGCCCCCTCCCTCGTCCCGTGTCTTCCTCTGCCTGTCTGCTGCAGGCGTAGTTCATTCCCTTGTTTTGGTGGAGCACATCCTCCAGGGGCTTTCTAAGAAAGGGAGCATGGGAAATGAGATTCCGTAACCACCTACTTACGTCCCGTTTTGAGTTAACGGTTTAGAATCATGGGTTGGAATCCATTTTACCTTAGAGATGGAGAACTGTCCATTGCCTCTGTCTTGGGGGCTGCTGATAAGAGTCCAGTGTCAGTTGAGCCTGATCCTCTTCTCGGTTCTGTTTCCCCTGCTCCAGAACCACTTGGGATCTCGTCTGCATTCTCAGGGGGTGAAATTGTTGGAGGATGTGCTCTGGAGTGGTCTGTGGGGCCAGTTTCCTGTTTCGTCACTGTTTCTACCTGGAAATCCATGTCTGTTGGTTCTGGACTTGTCCCGAGTTGCTTTTGTGTGGTCTCCTCTCTTCCTTTTTCTCCGTGTGCTTTCTCTTAGACTTCCATCACTGGCCTGGGCATTTCCTCTGTTAAACCGTGGACACTGCGTGTTCTGTCCGGGGGCATTTTCTTTACCCCTCCGCATGCTCTCGGACACCCCTCAGGTGCGTCTTCCACCCTTACAGTCTCGCCTCTGCTGCCTTCTTGTTGCTGTTCTGTTTTGAGGGCATCCTCGTATCTTGATGGAAGAGTGGGGCAGAAACATGGTTGCTGGGAGCCTGTGAGCGGGCTGTTGGATGGCAGGCCGTGGCGGCAGGAGGCAGGAGGGAGCTGAGCGGCCCGTGGTGGGCTCTGCTCTCTGGCCCGTGCTCTCTGCAGCCGCTCTCGGGCTCCTGCACTGCAGCAAGCTGGGTGGGAGCGGCACATTGCTCCGGGGCTGGGAGAGGAGCTGGGGGCTTGGATGGCTGTGGGCAGGCTGCCCTCTGTGCTCCCTCTTCCTCTCCTCTTCTGGAGGCCCCCGGCTCCTCCTTCCGGAGCCGGCAGATCACGCTCTTCTGGGCCTTCACTTCAGGGTCGGCCTTCCCAGACCCGTGAGGTTAGTGTGCACTCAAGACTGCTCGGGCCCTGGGTTTGGTTGTTTGCCTTTCCCCTGGTGCGGGCTGTGCCTTTTCTATACTTTCAGTCCTCTGCTGTGATGTTGGAGGAGACTCAGGGAAGCTGAGGGGATATTCCACCCTCCAGCTCTAGACAGAAGGCAGTTGTCCAAGCGACGCTTCCTGAGAGCTCATTTCCTCGTCGGTTCCCAGCCTTCCTTTCTGAAAACCTCTCCCAAAGCCCCCTCTCTGCCTTTTAATCTTGATGCTTCTTTCTGTGGATTTTGCACTTAAGCAAAGATTCCAGTCCTGGCGTGGATTGAGCGTGGGGTGGGCGTTCACGTGCTGTCTGACGGGGCGTTGTCGGGTCCCAGGACACTCCGGCCCTCTCCAGGGCCCCTCAGGTAGGGCTAGGCAGCCGCCCACTGTCTTGAGTCACGTCACTCTGCTGGACGGTCACTCAGGTAGGGAGGCCCTTGATGGGCACCTGGAAATGCGAAGCCTGCCTGCTCTCCCAGGCCTGCCACTGGGCTTCAGGCTCACACTCTCGAGTTGTCTGGGCCTCGGTTTCCCCCGGGTGGGTATGACGACGGCCTTCCACGTGCCTTCCCTTTCGCAAGTCCAAGGAGGCAACTCGGAAGTGCTTAGGATGATGGCGGTCTGCGGACTGAGCCCTGTGGAGCTTCCCCCAGTCAAGCCAACAGCTTTGTCTTGGTTTGAAATGCAGGAGGTCATCCGCGAGAGGCTCCGAGTCCCACGAGCTCGCGGAAGGAGGGGACGAGAAGAAGAAGCGAGATTCCCGGAGAAGCGGCTTTCTCAATCTCATCAAGTCCCGGTCCAAGTCCGAGCGGCCACCCACAATTCTGATGACAGAAGAGCCGTCCTCACCGAAAGGGGCAGTCAGAAGCCCAGCCCTGGACACGCCCAGGAAGGAGCCCAAGGCGGCCGAGCCCAGTGGCAGTGCCGAGCGCCCGGAGGACGCCAAGACGCCCGACTCCCTGGAGGAGAGTCCCGGGGAGGAGGGGCGGCCGGAGGGGCGGCTGGAGCGCAGCGACAGCAGGAGCAGCCCCCAGGGAGGGCGGCGGTACGGCGTGCAGGTGATGGGCAGCGGCCTGCTGGCCGAGATGAAGGCCAAGCAGGAGAAGAGGGCCGCGTGCGCACAGAAGGTGAGGCAGCCCGCACACCAGGCTTGTCCTTCTGTGGGTGAGGGAGGCTCAGGAAAATAGTCTGTCAGTTAAATAAACATCAGAATTGAAAGGTGTGTTCCCGCAGAGCCTCGGCGTTGCCCTGGGCCCCGGCTGCTCTCCCAGGAGCCACAGCGGCCTTTGGAGCAGGGTGTGGGGTTTAGGCAGGAGCCCGTCCCCCGCACGCAGGCTTGTCCTGTGCTCACGTGTGTAGCAGCAGGGAAACCCTCCATCCCGCAAGAGACAGCTGCACACGGAGGCCTGAGGGCAGAGGGAGGAGGCTAACGAGAGTCCTGAAACAGTGAGGGCAGCGTCCCCAGCGGCCTCCCCTTCCAAACTCAGAGACTTTGCCTGCTCCAGATTCAAATGGCAAAGGAAAAAGTCAGGGAGTCTTGTTAAGCTAACGGAATGTTTGCCCAGCCGTGGACGGGTGGTGCCCACTGCCATGGACAGCTAGTGTCCACTGCCATGAAGGAGAACTTCATGGTCAGAAACTGCTGAGTGCGGCTGAGAGCATCACTTGTTCCTTCGGCCTCCTTGTAGACGTCCGGGAGTGTTTTCTTTCCTTTTACCTCTGTTTCTTCTGCTGGCACTTAAAGGACTTCATCTTTGTTGTGATCGTTGAGAAACTGCCCATATTCAACTCCGGGTTAGTTTCTGGACATTGTCTTGAGCTCTTTTATTTTTACAAAACTGAGATCACCAAAGAAAGGAAAATTAATATCAAAGTATTAGAAGAAAACAGCTCCCACCATCGAAGCCTCAGTTTGCAGAAACAGAGTGGGAAAGTGCCGACCAGGTACGGGCCCTTTTGCACTGCTCCTAGACGACTGTTTTCCACTAAACCCTGCGTCTCCCGGGGTTTGCAGCCCCTCACCCCAGCACCTGATCTGTAGTCCCTACTTCAGGTCCCTCCAGCTCGCTCATCAGCTTTGGGGCGGGGAGACTGCACAGCTGCACTCTGCTAATTCACAAGTGAGGCTTGGTGTGGCTGTCATGACTCGGAATTCCACAGCCACATCATTAGGGAGCCAGGTGCCCAGACGTTTAAATTTTAATCCATTTTTTATCAATTTCTTTGTAACAACAAATAGACTGTTTTCACCATGAGCTGTTTATCATTTCCAGTGATGAACAGCTACATCCTGGTACAAAGGAGAGAAATTCCAGAGGTGTTTTTTTCCCCCCACCTGCTTTGGATTGATACATAAATTGACTCAAAGTGACAACATCCTTAAGGTTGAGTGTTGATTGTGTCCAATTGAGCCTTATACCAGTGTTCCCTGAGCGCCATCTGGTGTCACTTTAAACAACCACCATCATTGAAATCCTTAATATTTAGGGGGTGTTCTATCAGAATAATAAAATTTTTCAAAAGTTATCTTAGAGTATTTTTCCCTAAAATTCCACTCTGATTTTTCTGAAGGTGGTGGATGCCTCTGTGGTCAAACAGAGTCCTCAGCCTCCTCTGCACACTGTTGACATTTAGCACGTGTTTAAAGAAAGAGCTGGGATGACTGGCAGGACCCCATTTGATCCTTATCTTGCAGTCAGTCTTGGGGTTTACAGCTACCGCAGGAAACCCGTGAGGGAAGACAATGAAGCTACTCTCAGAATTGTTCTTGAGATGCAGACCAGAGAGGTTCCCAGGGGACAAAATATAAGGAGGTCCGCACTCTCTTGCAAAAGCCCAGAAGGACAGGTCCCTGTTGGGATTTCATGGTTAGTGTCTGGCCAGGCCTTGCAGATGCTCGAGCAGGGCACAAAGGGTACCTGGGGCTTTCTGTCCCTCGGGTCACCCTTCCATGGGGATGCCAAGTAGCAGGCCCCCAGGGCTGCCAGTTTCTCCTCCGAGGCCTGCTCAGCACCCTCCACTAGAGAAAGTACTTCCGTGGTCTTGCTGAGAGATGCCTCGAATCCTTGGCTCTTCCTCCCAGAGCCAAAGCCCCCAGGGGTGTGTGGGGACAGACTAGCAGGCACAGTGAGAGTCAGACCTCAATGTATTTCATACAGTCTGCGTCATCATTCCCAGGTCTGTGCAGAGGACAAGGGAGCAGGGGTGGGCAGGTCACCCTGCCTCCGCGGTTGGCCTGTTAGGTGAGAGGCAGCCGTAGCCAGGCTCTGCCGGCAGGATTCTTAGCTGGGGAGAGTCAGACACTGGACTTGTTCTTTTCGTATGTCTTCGTGTGTGCGCCCCTCGTACCACTGCAGACTTCTGCTCTGCAAGGGCAGAAGCTGATTCCGCTCCATTAGGGTTAGCTCTAGCCCTAAGACAGTGGCCGTGATCCTGCCCCCTCCTTGGCCTCACAGTCTCCTCCCCCTGCAGGTCTTCTAAAAGTTAGGGTCCAGGATGTTAGTCCATGGTAGAATTCTCGTCTAGCATGTAGAGGCCCTAGGTTCCATCCCAGCACTGAAAATTCAAAGAAACAAAAACAGAAAAGAATTGAGGCCTGTCCACCTGTATTTTCCTCCTGATGAGATCCACACCTGGGGTTCTGCCTCCGTGACAAGGAGGACTTTGCCCATTTTAGGCCCCTGGACACCTATGTTGTCATAGGTTTCTGCTGATTTTAAAACTAGATTTTTTTGGAATCCAAACCTGTAGAGTCCTGGAAATTTCTAGAATGTAAGTGTTCCTCACACAGAGCATCAGGGCTGTGAGGTGGCACAGGTATTCAGGGACTGTAGGAAGTGTCACCCACTCAGCCACCTCCCGGCCCCTGCACTCTGTCCTGTGGGAGCCTCCTGGGAACTCCCACACGTGGACGCAGAGCAGGGACAGCAAGCACTGGGCAGAGGTGCTTCTCCCAGCTTCCCAGCAAGAGGACCTCAGGACGCAAGGTCAGACGAGCACTGTGACCGTGGCAGAGTCCCTAGCTATCTTGTGTTGTCATTTATCATCTGTTTTTTTATTTACACATCAAATAAACATGCACTGTTTGGGGGGTGGTGCTTGCATTTTGTAGAAGCTTGGCAACGAGGCCGTCTCCCAGGACTCCCCCGGCAGCCCGGCCTTGAGCAGCACAGAGCGGTTGGACGGCGGAGGGGCAGGTAAGCGAGGCCACTGCCATCACTCCTGGGAAAGTCCCTGACCTCTGCTTCCCCTGTGACAGACGGAAGAGGAGGGTGGGAAGCAGTGGCTGCCTGTGCCGGGTGCTCCCAGCTCCCCCTGAAGCACGGGTGCCTTGCCTGTCAGCGCCAGCTGTCTGCAGGTGACAGGCCACCCGCCACTGAGCTGGGTGACACTTCCTACACTTGGTGCCTGACACTCGCCTCTTCTCGTTTCTCAGGGCAGAAATTCCAAACACTGTGTTCACCGAGAATTCCTATTGTGGGCATTTCATGAAAGGGACTGGGAGCATGGGGACAGCACATGTTTTTAAATATGAGCCACATGTGGCACGGGAAGGCGGTGTCCACTTGAGAGGAGGTGGTGGTCCAGTGGCTTGCCATACACACAGCCTGTGCCCTTTGTTGCTCTGACCCCTTAGGTCAGTGGAGGGCAAGATTCTGAGACGGAGCCTGGCGAGGGGTTGAGAATTGCTGGAATTCTGGTGGGGCCACTGGGTGTCCTTGCTGTTGCGTCCTCACGCCGCGAGAGCGAGTCTGTCAGCCACCCTCTGCCGGCTCGGCTTGGCCAGTTGGTTAAGTGAGGGCAGCCGTGTGAATGGAGGCCAAGGCGGGGTGGCATCTGGACCTGCCGTGGCGTCAGCGCGGCCCCCTCCACTCCAGCCCTGCGGGCACAGCCTGGCTGTTTTCTGGAAGGAAGGCGCCCGTGGTTGGCGCCAGGTCAGAGACACCTGGAGCCTCGGATGCATTGAGCTCCGTGCTGCCCTTGGCTGCTGTGGAGCTGTGCACTGGGTCCCCCTTGCCACCTCTGCGATGGGCGGGCGGGGCTGGTCAGGAAGGCCCCTCGACCCCACCGCTTTCCTGTGGAGAGTTTTAGTCTTTCACCTGTGTGTTTTGTTCTGAAATATATGATGAGAAAGGGCAGTGATTGATTGCCGCTGACTTCTGCCTCCAGGATGCAGGTGTTTCGGCTTTGATCTGTAACACAGGCTTCTTCTGCTGCTTCATTTTAGTGCCTAAACTGCCTCCAGGTCTCCCAGAAAACCGCTTTGGTCTGGGAACACCAGAAAGGAGCAGCAAAGCAGAGCCCAAGGTGGAGGTGGGCTCCAGGTCTCGGAGTTCGTCCAGCAACCCCACCAGCCCCAAGCCCCTCCTGCAGTCCCCCAAGCCCTCCCTGGCAGCACGGCCCAGCATCCCGCAGAAACCAAGAGCCGCCTCCCGGCCCGGTAAGGACAGGGTTTGGCTGGGGTCACCCCGTGGCCCGACAGCTCTCCAAGCGTCTGCATTGACAAGAATGTCTGCACGGGTCTCTTACAATTCTGTGAGAATTCACACATACGAAGTTGAAAGGGCACTATTGTGAACGCCGTCTCAACTCACCTCTTATGTCTCTCACAGTTAGGCAAACGGAGTAGATCCACGGTCAGGTCATTACCATGGCTGGTCAGCACTGAGCAGGTAACGCTGGGCCAGGCTCTGTTCCACCTACCCTGTGTGGACCCACCCCCAATATCCACATCCCACCCCCTTTCACAGATGAGATAGTGAGTCTGCCAAGCCACACGGGGTGAGCAGTATCCAGATGGGGTGACCCACCACCCGTAGCAGCAGACAGCCTTCTGGCCCCTCGTGGGCACATACACCGTGACACTGGAGGCGCAGCTCGCCCTGGTCATCCATTCTTCAATGTGTGGGTGACTCAGGTGGAACGGGAGATGCCGGGTCCCACGTGTCTAAACTGTCCCACTCGGGGGTCTTTCTCGTTTCCTCTCGTGCTCACCTTGTTCCCCCGGCAGCCCTGGTGGACAGTCTGCACAGAGCCACAAAGAAAGGGTCTACCAGGCTCCCTCAAGGAACTGACCCCTGCCGCAAACCACTCAGGACTAACAAATTGTACTAAACTTTTTCCCAAAGAAGTCTTTGTGAGTGAGGAACACAATTTTTAATACGGAAAATAGCCTTATAAAGGGAATGGGGAAAATGGAGGCAAAGCAAACAGTTTAAAAAATTTTTTTTTTAACACAAAGCAAGATCTTTCAGGGTGTGGTGGTGCACACATGTAATCCCAGTGACTCAGGGGGCTGGGATCCGAAGATTTTATGTTGCTTCCAGCCTCAGCAGCTTAGTGAGGTCCTAAGCAACTTAGTGAGTGTCTCAAAACAAAAATAAAAACAGGCTGGAGACGTGGCTCAGTGGTTAAGCACCTCTGAGACCGATCAATCCCCAGAGACAAAAAGAAAAGAAAGAAAAAAGGAAAGGAAAACAAAACCTCCAAAAGGAGGTCTGATTGTGACATGTTTACCAGCTGCTGTGCCTCTAGTGAGGAACCAGCCCTCATAAAGAGGAATCTGCCCTGGGTCAGAGTATTTTGGCTCCCCATTTGCAAATGCTGAATATAGATCAGCTGGATTCCTAATATTCTGTTGCAGGAATTTTTGATTTTCACCTTATGCTGGACATGGTCGTTGCTTCCCTAGTACTAGTATGCCAAGAAGCGTGTTAACAAGCCAGCACTTTTATAGAGCTTGGGAAGCCGGTGGGCACTTCCCCTGCCCCGTGTCACTCCTTTCCCACGGTTCTGAGGGGGCGTCAGGGTCTCCGTGTCCATGGTGAAACGAGAGGACTGGGGTTAGAGGTGGAGGCCGTGGAGAAGCGGCTGTGGGTCGTCCTGCAGTTGTGTGCACTGCTCTCCCAGCCACAAAAGGAGCCTGGTCAGTCCGTCCCGAAGGCAGCGCTGGCTGGGGGTTGAGATGAGGATTCTAGTCCCCGCTCTCTGGCCATCTTTTTAGCTTAGCATTTACTCTCCATTTGTCCAGTGATCAAGACCCTTCGCAGTTGTCAAAATCCATGATTCCAGATTATCCCTAGGGACCTCAGTATGTGCTTGTAGGTGCTTGCATCTGTGTTGTGGCTGCTGCACTGTGAAATGTGGACAGTCACGTATCTTAAAACAGACAGCTTTAGGTTTAAGGCAGAAGGACGTGTGGCTCACAGTCCACCTTCAAATATCAGCTATTGAAGTGTCAAACCTGCAGGAAAAAACCACATCTGTGAAGATTCTGACCTTTTCCAGGGTTCGTTATTGTTGCTTTATTACGTGTGCATGTTCACTGAGCAGAAATACAAAAGTAATTTTTGGCCAGAAAAATTCTAGGATGCTTTTCTGTTCTTATGAATCATCTGTATTTAAAGGTTTACCTGGTGGGTGAGTGTGTGTGTGTGTGTATGTGTGTGTGTGTGTGTGTGGTTCCGGGTGTGGAATGGCTTGATTCCTGTGTTCATGTCTCCACAGAGGATGCCCCGGACTCTCCATCCGGTCCCAGTTCCCCTAAAGTCGCCCTTCTTCCTCCTGCCTTGAAGAAAGTGCCCGTGGACAAGGACAGAGACAGCCAGAACAGCCCCCAGCCCAGCCCCCGCGTGTTTTCCCAGGAAGGTAAGAACTTTCTCTCTTTGGGTTTCTCTGTCCACGGAGGGCAGTTCGAGGAATTAACCCTGGACCGGGCCAGTGTCTTGGAGTTCAAGTCAGCGTTAGGTCTTTGGAAGCAGAGCAGCTCCTTCGTCCAGGAACTCGGGCTTCCCAGAGACACCCAGCCCAGAGGCCAAGGGCCTGCAGGTGTGCCCTGAGATGCTCCTCCATGGTTCCCAGCAGGTGCGATTCTGGAACCTGATGGTGCTCCCTGTGGATTTCTAGTCCCTGTTACTCCAAGGAGAGTGGCCTCTAGCTGTCGTGGGCAGCCGCTGCTCTTCAGTGCCACCGTGCCTCGTTGCTCCCCAGATCCCACCGGGTCAGTTGTCAGGGGATGGTGTGGTTGGGGTCTCCATGGCACCTGTATCACACCTCTCCTTCCTCCCTCAACCTCCCGATGCACAGATGGCTTTGTTCTGTCCATGGAAGGTGTCATTTAAATGCTGTCCCTCGGCACCACCACCACCTACAGACACATCCTGAGCCGCCTGCAGGTTCTCCATGTGGCTGGAGCGGCTCCTTATTTCACACGTGTTCCGTGCCCGCTCTGGCTCTGTCCCTGCCTCAGCCTGTCTCTGGTTGAGGCTGACAGAAGGTGTTGCTAGGTCCTGACTTAGGGTCTTTGGTCCCCTTACAAAAATGACCCCCTTTCTCCACTTCATTCTGCATATTTATTTGGTGGGCAGAAGTCTCTCTCACCTATTGGCTGTCAATAAAAGAAGAAAGGGTTTTGACTGAAGCTATTAAGCACCTCTTTTGTGAAATAGAGAAACTAAAGCCAGGAGAGGGGCCATTCCCCTAGTCTGTGGGAGGAGCGAACAGTCCCATTACAGCCCATGCCCGTGGGAGATTTGCTACAGGAAGAACCCTGCGGAGCTGGTGCGGGTGCCTGGCGCAGGTGCCCAGCAGCCCATGCTTGCCACACAGCCCCCAACTCCTGCCCTCATGGTCCCTCTTTCTGTAACTGCTGACTGCGTATCTGTTTTTAAGGAAGCTTTGACAAAACCTGAGAGTTTTATTGGGGAGACACTGGGGGTGGGGAAGGCACAGGTACCATAACTGGGAATGTTCATCCTGTTAAAAGCAGTTGAGACACTGAAGGGTTCAACCCCTACCTGACCCCCCAAAAGACAGAAGGTTGAGTAGAAACTCGCTGTTAACATTTTTGGAGTATGGTATTTTTAAAAAATATTTTAGTTGTCGTTGAACATAACACCTTTATTTTATTTATTTTTACGTGGTGCTGAGAATCGAACCCAGAGCCTCGCATGTGCTAGGCAAGTGCTTTACCACCGAGCCACAACCCCAGCCCGAGTATGGTGTTTTCTACCAAACATTTTGATTGCCTGTGGATCATCAAAACAAAGTCTGGAGCGCCCACCAGCCTTGGGTGGGAACAAGCTGGGAGCCGTCTAGTAGCAGGGGCACATGGATGGCTTGGCAGGCTGCCAGGAGGGACGCAGGCTGCAGAGCCTGTGGTTCTGGTGGTGTCCGGGGGCCCCTCCTCTCCTCTCGCAGTCGGTGGGGTGGCTCATGTCCTCTTCCCAGTGGCTTGTTGGGCTGCAGAGCTGAGATCGTTGCTCTCCACGTGGGACCCAGACTAAACCAATATTTGAGGTCTGAGCACAGCAAGTGCGGGTGGGATTCCACTCCAGCTGCGCTAGCTCTCTGCCAAGGTGGGGGGCACACCTGAGCTGCTGCCCTCGGCACTGCCTGGGCCCGCTCCCGTTTCCTGCTCCTCGTTCACACTGGTACTTCCTTTCTTTGTCCCCTGCCTCCCTGTGGACTAGCCTGCCCAGCCAACTTCTAAACAGGTAACGTCTGTGACTCTTCCGGATCATTCCACAGTGAGCATGATTCTCATGGTCCATCGTGTCATCACAGAGGTCATGTTGGGGCTTTTCTGTAGGACTCTCGGGCAGACACAGAGCTCACCTCATTTGTTGACCATTTCCATCGCGTTGGCTTTGAATTCCCCAGTCGGTGGGGTCTCTGCCCGAACCAGCTGTGAGCTCCGAGTCCTGAGTCGGGTGGGTGATCTCACTCTCATTGTGGTGTCGACACGGGGCACTTGCTACTGAAGGGTAAAGGGACCCTTTTCCTGAGGAGGAGTGCATTCAGGGCATGGCAGCGGGAAGCCTTGGGTAGAGGGAAAGGACCTCAAAACTGCACTGGGCCCCTGAAGAAGAGGACGTGAGTGCAGCTGGACCTGGGCCGAGCAGCACCTGGCGAGAGCCTGTGGCTGCCCCACGCCTCACTCGGTGGCTCAGCTTGGGAGGGGCCGGGCTCTCAGCCTGTCCTTATTCTCATGGCAGCAGGATGGTCCTTGTACGTGGGACGATAAAGTACTGACCCAGCAATCGAAAGCTAGAGAACCTTATGAGAGGGTCAAGTTACCCCGGGGACTTGGCCATTCGAATTTTTGTGAGCGAACAGGTTTATTTTTATATTTGGGGGCTCTTCCTTTTTACCTTCCTGTTAAGTTCCCAGTGGGCGTGGGCAGGGACTCTGAGAGGACTAGTCTTCCCCTGGGAGGATGCTGGCCCAAGCCCTTGACTATTAAAGGAAAGGTCAGTAGGAAGCCCTGGGTGCAGACCCAGGTCACGCACTTGCCTTTCCATGACATTTTATGATTCACCATGAAAGAAAGACACCTGGTAGTCCAACCCTCGGGAGCAGTCGATCCCTTTTCCAGCACTTGCTTCTAAGACCTGTGTCTTCCATTTGGCCCCGTAGCGAAGTGTGTCCCGTCTATTCAGGTGAGAACAGGCCCCGAGACAAAAGGGAGGCCAGTCTCAGTTCAGCCTTAGCCCCACCCTCCAGCGCGAAGGTTCTAGAGCACACGCTGCTGACCCCGGGAGGAGTCGTCCATTGTGGCTGAACTGCTGCTCGTCTCCCTGGTTAACAACTTTTATAAACACGACTCCAAGTATTGTGTAGAGGAGATGTTGACACAGAACACAGAGACATCTGAACAGGGAGATGCCGCCAAGGACCTCTGCCTGGAGTGAGGCGTGGTCTTCCTGTCCACTGGGTCAGGGTTGACAGGCTGTGTCCCTGCTCCGGGGGCAGGTGTGTGGCCAGCAGCTAGTGCAGCTCCGTGCCCTTTGCCCCCTCCCGGCAGAGCTTTCAGAACATAAGGTAGTGGCAGTGACCTTACGACAGGATGAGTGTGTTTGCGGAAGGGTAAATCGTGTTCCTACCTGAGCCCTTCATCACTGTCGACTTCCTGTGGCACCTGCGATTCACAGCCCCGCGCGTGCCGATGCCTGCAGTGAGCACTGTCGCTTGGATAACTCTGCTTGACACAGATTTAAGAGTCAGCACCACAGGGTTGGAAGCCTGCTTCTCAGCATGTGCTCTCCCGGCTGGGGTTCTGACGCATGCCGGCCAGCTGCCAGGTGGCGGTAAGGACCCCACCACAGCGCCAGCAAGACAACAGGTCGCGCAAGCATCGGGCATCCTGTCTGGGCCAGGTCGCACTGGCCCTCACCCTCCTGTGGTTTCGTGGTGTTCACTCGCAGAGCGGGGGCTCCATGCTGGTGCTCCGTGCTGGCGGCTTGGCCTGGCCTGTGCTCTCAGAGGGCTTCCTGAGTATGGGTCAGCCTGTAGACGCAGTTAGAAGAACTCTCCTTTCTACAGTGGATCTCTGCTCTTGCCAAGAAGGTCTCTGCCTGCTTCAGTCTCAGGAGCTACACGAGTCACACCTAAGGCATTTGTCTTCTGAAGAGCACTGGTTCCTTTCGAGCATGTATCGTCCAAGTCTCTGTCTGTATTGCCCCTTACCTTACGATAAGGACACGTGAGGTCACGGAGATGTCTCTAGATCCTGAAGGTCACCTTGGAGCTGTTGTATCTGCTGACTAGCACCTTTGTGTTGTGGTCCTCCTTCAAGGACCACTCATTCCACCCAGAGGGACCACCCCACTAAATCCTCCAGGCCTCGAGTGAAGGCAACAACAGGGCCACCCAGGAAGTGCCAGTCCCAGGAGGGCAGGGGGTTCTGCTGCTGCCTCGGGCTTTCCCTGACCTCAGTGGCTTCAGGTCCCCCGTGATGGCTGCATCAGATTCTGATGGAATCAAATCGGACCATCTGGTGTTAGTTCTTCTGCCCTGATTTCTTGAAAAAACACCAAAAAGTAATTCTTGCAGGAGCTTCAGCTGAAGTCATTCTGCGTCTGATACGGTGATTTTGTTGTGTTGGTGCATACGTAGCCTTGACTGTCTTCACATACAGTCTGCTTTCTGAATAGATCCTGGCTAAAAACTAGCATTTATCCGAGCAATGAATGAAACCTTGGTGTTTAATTTCCTTTAAGTCTTTTAAGAACATCTTTGTTTACACTAAAACAGCTTTCTTAATTTCCTAAATCATGCTTTTGTGAAACAATTATTCTCAAAGCATGCTGCGTATTTTTATCATGACTGCTGAGTTTTAATTACGTGGCTATTTTACTATTGGTTTGACAGATAAAATGCTTTATCTCTTTTACTGGAAATATTTGTAACTGCATCTTTTGAATTTCATATCATTTTTTCTCTGCCATGTAATTATAAGCTATGATATCTTCATTATCACATGTTCTATTTTCTTGAAGAAAACGGTGGCTTTTGTTTGGCTTTGTGTGTGTGGTGCTGGAACCCAGGGCCTCGTGCCTTTGGGGTGGGCTCTGTCACAGGGCCTGGCTTTATGTGTTGTGATGGAGCCTTCTGGCTCGGCAGCCGGTTGCAGGACTCCTTCCGACTACCACTTGCTTCCTCTGTGATCCAACCTTAGCTCTGCCTAGAGTCCATAAGCCAGTTCTCTCTTCTACATTTTATCCCCAGATCCAGGTTTCATGTCTCCTGTAGGAATTCTTCAAGAGAGATTTAGCAGTTGGTTGGCATTTTTGGCTCTTGCTAGAGAGAATAAAAAATCAGTGCCAACTACTGAGAATTATTTTAAGGTCATCAGAATGTTTTCCTTCTGGAAAATATGGATATTAGTGGAGCTTACAGTGGAGAAAAATTTTCATAGGAATCTCTGGTCCTCAGTTTATGTGCATATTTCAGGAGGTTTAAAATCAGCATGTATATATTTGCATATATACATATGCAAATTCGGATCATCTTCAAAAATGGCAGACTTCATCTTTGAGCCTCTCCACACAGTTGTTGCCCCATAAACAGGATGTGAATATGCACGCAGGTGTTCGAGTTGAATAAATTACCTGTTCATTTACTTGAGTGTCCTTTATCAACTAATAGTGCGTGGAATAGTAATTAACACAGATACAAACACATGTACAGAAACACTCTGGCATTAACCACACAAGTGCTTGCATTGAAGATGTGTTCCAAAGCAATCTGATTTTTTTTAACCTCTAAAATCAAGCTGCCTAGGAGGAGGTCTGTCTGAATTAGTAAAAAGTGTAAATTCTATAAATGTTTTTAAAATAAATTCTGAAGTTTTAAGTTTCAAGCAGACATTATTCTACTTAGACCCGCCTTTAATGGAAGCCGGACCAAACCGACTTCCATAGAATTGTAATTAGCCTCTTAATTATATGCAATCACATAGATGCTCCCTAGGGGCTGGAAAACACACTTGACAGGAACATCTCCTATGCAGGGGCTCACCTTAAGGTTCTGCATGAATCAGGCTGGAGGCGGGAGCCAGTGCATTAGCTGTGTGACTCATTTTAGTTTTCTGTCTGAGTGGAGCCCACCTGCAATTCTAAGGACGTGCCAGCCTGGTCTTGGGCTCACTATCACGTGCATTCACAATTGATTGAATTTAATCAAAGAAGAATGAGGATTTTTTTCTCACTCTGATGCTGGGGTGGAACCCAGAACCTGGCGTATGCAAGGCAGTGCCTTCCCTTGAGCTGCCCACCAGCCCTGAGTGAATTTTCGCCATGTCACCCCCACAGTAAATGCTTGAGCAGCCTCCTTGAAATAATGTGCTGTTTTTTCCTCTTGGTAACTGTGTTAGAGAAAGTTCGGTTCTGTCCTTGTGACTGGCACTGGCTCTGCATCACAAGTGTGAACTGGGCGACGTTTACCTTTCCTCCTACTCCACCTGCTGTTCCGCTGTCCCCGCCCTGCAGGACAGTGTCAGTGACCTGAACTCTGCGGGGCCACTCCTGTGCTGCACCTCTCTGAATCCCAGCCTGTTGCCATAGTGAGCCTGGCCCAGGGGCCTAGTTCAGTTTCTAATCTGTGAAATAAGCATCGTTGGTTACATGAGATTCCCTGCTCCTGAGTCGCCTTACATACGTGAATTGGACCTCAGATTTCTGGGGAGCCAAAATATTGATGAAAAGTTTGATTATTGTTTTAATAGAAGGATTAGAGAAAAAGTTTGCTCTGAAGCAGATCACCATATTTATTTCTTCCCTTGAGGCTGTAGTGTTGGAAGTTGGTTGAGTCATTTGACAGGGCGATGACTTACTTTGGTTTAAAATACAGTGAAACCGATTTCTAGCAAGTTTCACAAGTGGTGCTCTGCTTTGAAGTTGAAGGGCTTGCCAAGCCTCTCAGGCCGTGGGGTACACGACTTCCCTGCTCCCCAGTCTTGGCATCACTGGGGCTGAGAACCTGCAGGATCCAAACGAGAGTCAGATTGGTTTTGTGACAAAGCACAAAATATCTGCAGACATATAGTTATCTTCTTTTTGTGAGTGTAGCTTAACAACAACTTTCAAAAGACCAATCACACAAGGACATTTAATTTTTTTCTCCCAGCACAAGCTTAAAATGAAGAACAATGATAATATTTGTTCATTGTTTTCTTCCCCATCTGAAGTTTTTGTCAAAAGCTGTGGGGCAAAAAGGAATCAAATTATTTTAACTAAGATTTGAAAAGATTTTTTTCTTTCCAGAATTTTGGATGATTTCAATTTATTTTTTTCTTTTAATTTCAGTTTAATATCATTAACTGAACATTTGAATTTTCATTCCAATTATTATCCAGAGACCAGAACCTGGCCCTGTCGATCCTGTTGGCAAGTGCCTTAGTGTGTTTGTATTTTGACCCTTAGGTTTAGTGAGTTTTCACTTCCTGCAACTCACTTCAATGAGTTAAATATTTAAATAGAGAGCACCTGGCAAGAGGAATGTGTTAGCAAAAACGCAGTGATCAGAAGCATCATGAGTTCTGGGGCTCTTCCTGGTAGAAGTGCTGTGTCCCTGTCTGGAGCATTTGGTCTTCTGAGTAACGAGGTGACTGTGCTCTTCCTTCCACTTGCTTCACAAAGGGTGTAGGTTTGGTAGGTCAGCTCCACGGTGTCTGCACGGGGGACATGGTGCCTAGCATCTGTCAACCCCTGAGAGCCATGGGGAGCACAGCAGCAGAGTCGTTCCTGGGCTGCAGTTGACAAGAAGCCATGGTCAGTTGGAAAGCCCATGGACTTCCTGGTCCTGAGGTCCACAGATTCCTACCTTACGGGGTCACCGAGCAGCAGCAGTGAGCAGAGGGCTCCCGGCACACTGACTGTGAAGCCCCAGCCACGCCTTACCTGTGATTGGAATAGTCCACATCTGGAGCGCTGGCTGATCGGCAGTGCTGGATGCGTTTTCACAGAATTATGTCAGAGAGAATAAAAAGGGTTCATTTCCTAGAGAGTGAAGTTGAGGTTTTCTGAGACCCATAAAGGTCTGAAAGAGATTCCTGAGGCCTTTCCTGATATCCTGTCCTTGAGCCGGGTCAGCCAACCCTAAACCACCTGCAGAAGGTGCCCAGTGGACACCTGTCCAGCCTGCACCCTCTCTCTGCTGCCACTGAGACTGAGGTGCCACCTGGTGCCCAGCCTCAGTGGGTTGTGGCTTCCCCTTCTCCTTCACCTTGGGGTCGTCACCTTGGGTTCTCCACCACATCTGTGAGAGGGCCACCCTGTCATAGGCATAGTCTTGCATGCCTCTGTGGCGTGAGTGTTTCTGGGTCTGCTGCTCTGTTTGGAATCCACCCGGAGTCTCTAAGCATAAGGGAACTTTGCTGTAAGAAAGTTGGCCCCGGCTCACTGCCCCGCAGGTGCGCCCAAGGCCCCTGCCGTCACCCCACTGTGGCCAGGCCCCTACTGCTGCATGTACTAACTGTTCTGCTTCCTTGCCTTTCAATTCCAGTTTCAAGGAGAAGCTGGGGCCAGCAGGCCCAGGAGTATCAGGAGCAGAAGCAGCAGCGGCCCTCCAGTAAAGACGGCCCCCAGGGCAGCAAGTCAAGTGACTCGGGAGAGGAGGCCGAGAAAGAGTTTATTTTTGTGTGAAGGTCCCCGGGCAGAGTCTCACTGTGCAGGTGCGTGTGGCCCTCAGAGAGGAGGGCGCCTCCTCTACTCTTGGTGCTCTCTTCTTTCTTCTTCCTCCTTTCGGAGCATAACAACAGATCCATTCCTGGTCTCAAAGCACACTTCTGGTCTTCCCGTCCTTCGCACTGGATTCTAAACCTTGCTTCACAAGCTTTCAGCAAAAGCCAGCAGTTATTCCATGGGCCCTCCTTGAACTTCTCTGAGGCAGCTACAAATTGCCCGGCAAGATGAGTCTTTGGAGGTCAAAGCGTAGCTGCACACACACGCACAGGTGCTCCACCCCGAGACCCAGGGCACTGCCGACCGTGCCTGTCACATCTGCCCATGACTGGATAGAGCGGTTTATTCTTGATGTAAGCATTGCACATTGTAATTATATTAACAGAGCACACTAATAAATAATTTGTATAAATTATATTTATTAGATCTTGGTATGGTTTTTACATTCTCCCATGGGGAACTTCTTCCTTCCTGAAGTGGAATTGTACATTTAAAGGTTAGTTGGTGGCCTTCGGGTGCCATCAACAAGCACAGCTGAGAATGGAGTGAGCTTGGTCCATGTGGATTCTTCCATGTGCCCAGATCAATGTACATATTTGATTGGAATGAAGTTTTATGAATATTCATGTTTTGGAAGGCCTTTAATTTCTGCTGCATTTTAGGTTTTAATGTGTGGTTTTAAGAGAGAATACTTTGACACCTGTAAAAAGAAATCAGAATACTACTCTTTTATAAGACATTTCACAAATATTCACTTGCATTACAGGCTGAAAGTATTTTATTCATATGTATATTTATACCAATAAAATGATTTTACAAGCGGAATTGTTACCTTCTGTAGTTACTTTTTTAGTTAGGATTAGCTGGTGCTGGTGAACTTGAAACTTTGTTTCTAAAAATCTAGAGTATTCACAGTTCTCAGAGAATCCACCAGTCTGGGGACCATTGCCTTCAAAATGGACGTAACTTGCTAGTTCTGCCCCCCTGCTCTCACTGTGGGGAAAAAAGAATGTACCAGAAGGGTATAGAATTGAGTGGGGTCCTGGATCCACTGACTCGGGTCCGGGGTCACGTGAGCCACGCTGTTGGAGTGGAATGTGAGTTGAAGAGGCGCAGGGTGGTCGTCCACTGGAAGGAACTCTTGGAATGTGGGGCTGAGATCCGATTCCTCACCCCCTCCCCACCACACTGGGGAGCCTGGTGTGTGAACAGGGGCCCCGTGACGTGGATACAGGACCACCTCCTCCAACGGTAGCTCTGCTGTCATCACTGCCAATGGGACCCACACCTCCACTGGCAGCCAGAGTGGGAGAAGCATGAGGCAAAGACAGGTGGGTGCTGGGCGGGTGGCAGGCCTGGGAGGGTAACCCACTGCCCAGCTGAGTGACAGCCCATGGAAGGGGCAGTTATTCTGTTTGGGATGCAAAAGCCTTAAAGGAAGTAACATTGGTGCTAGGCCTTGAAGCAATGCCTTTGTAAGTGTCAGACCACGTTGGGCCCTTGGTTGTAACCCTAAGATGCAGGTGTGACACGTTACCTCCTATGATGCAGGTGTGGCCCATGTTACCCCCTGTGATGCAGTTGTGGCCCATGTCACCCCCTGTGATGCAGGTGTGGCCCATGTCACCCCCTGTGGTGCAGGTGTGGCCCATGTTAGGTCAGGGAGCCATGGAGATGCAGGAGTGTTCTGGCTCAGAGCATCACCTGGGAAACCCTGGCAGAGAGCACCTGCTGTGAGCAAGTCCTCTGGGCTCCACAGAGCAGCTGTTCTTGAGGAGGGACAGGGAGGCCTGTGACCAGCCTCTGCTGCTCCAGTGAGGGTCAGACCCGACTCTGCAGTGGAGCAGGGTAAGGCGAGATTCTCAGTGAGGCAAGAAAGCTCAGATGAACAGCCCAGGAAGGAGAGGCAGGCCCAGAGCCACCACCGAGCGAGAGCCATGACTTGTTCCCTCTGGGGATCAGCAGGGGCTGCCCTGAGAGCCTTGAGGAGCAGGTTCAATGGGGGCATGGTGGATGCACAGCCTGCTGGCCTTTGTGCCTCTGCAGTGGTCCTGAGGCCAGCCCCACTCTCTGCTGCCAGGTCGTCCCTGCCCACGCGGGTCTCCTCCAGGGCAGCCTTGCTCAACACCCTGGGCTGCACCATGGTCCTCACTCCTCCAACCCTCTCACAGGTCAGCCTGGGGCTCTGACTGCACTCCTTCCGTCTCAGGAACGGTCCCCAGGAGGGTACCTGCAGTCTCTGGCTGTCCTGGCCCACTCTTCCATATCTTGTCATCCTGATCAGTCCAACAAAGATGCAGGGGAAGGTGGCTTTATGGTGTGTCTGCTGAGCTGGAGACTGGTGGCCCTTCCTCAAAGCACAGGGCTTGCTGTTGGCTCTGTGAGTATCTCAGCTAGGACCCATAATGTGTCTCTAGAAGGTTCCCCAGGACAGAGAGTGACCAAGTGACTTCTCAAGCTTCCTTAGGACCTGACAAGCCAGATGCCACTGGATCTGTAAAGTGCCAGCGGAGGTGAAGGGTGATGTGGTCTCTGGGAGCCCAGTGAAGGTAAGTGCTGGAAGGCCACAGCCACAAGAAGCTGTCGGTGCCCAGAGCCCACCAGACAAACCAGGTCATGAGGAGCCACTGAGGGAGCTAGGGCCCCAGCCTCCTGGGAACCCTCGGACCATATGAGATTTTCAAAAGCACCGTTAGGAGGGGCCAAGGAACCTTCTTGTAATCCTAAACCACAGACACGGCAGGATTTTCCTGTAGAGATGCGAAAAGCTCAAATGAAGAATACGGATTCCCACCCATCTCTGGGTAGGTGGCAGGGCCAGGATAACCCAGAAGTCACGTCTGCTTTTCTGGGATGTGTGTGTCACACGACTTCAGCGAGCACACTGGTCTTCCCGTGTCTCTCTCTCCTTGGTTTAACATGGCTTCTTTGGGAGTCTGCTTGGTACAGACCAGGCATCTGCCAGGTGTTGGAGAGACCTCAGTTCGAGTTTGGCCACTGAACCAGGAGAGTACTGGACACCTGGCTTGTGGGAGGGCAGGGGGACAGCAGCCAGCAGTGGCTTGAAGGTCAGGACCGTGCCCCTGTCCTCATTTCCCAGGACAGCCACCTTCCCTTGCTGACTAGTCACCTTAACCTCCATCTGTGAGATCCCACTGTTCTCCACGAGAAAAACATTCTGCAGCTGAAAGGGCAGCAGATGAGGAGCAGCAGAGGAGGAGGACATGACACAGGAAGTCTCTGCAGGCAGCTCAGCCCTGATGCTTCAGCAGAGCATGGAACCTGCCCTCAGTCCCAAGTGGAAACCCTTGAATGGATTTTCATTCAGTGCTTTTATTACCTGCCACCTTGAAGGCACTGCCCACGGTGGCCCCGCAGTGAAAACTGTGTGGCGTGGCGGTCATTCCTCGTCACAGGAACAGGAACAACACGCCTTCTCCTGCAGAGGGAGCCCTGGTTGGAAGCTGTAGATCGTGGTGCTGATGCTCACCTCCCTCAGACCCTCACTCTTTCTCTGCCGCGTTCGGGGTCCTGCTCTTTGTTATCCAAATAGACACTGACCTTCCTCAGTTCCTCGGCCATGCTACCCAAACCAGAGCAGGGACGCAGACAGGGAAGGCGGAGGGCAGTGGAAGGAGGAGGGGAAGGGATGTTTCTTCATCGTTTCTGTCTTTCCTCCCAGCCAAACTGCAGCCACGCCTCAAGGTGCTGGCCTGTGTCTCTCCTCCCATGATGAGAGGATCTGGGACCCCGCTCCACCCCGTGACCAGCTTCATACAAGAGGTTCGTAACACAGAAGTTAACTAGTGAGATCAAATAAACACACAAAACTCAATTTACCTTTTTCTTTGACCAGGTCTGTGACGGCTCTCCCCTCTGGCTCCTGCCTCAAGCCACCCGGTGGGGCAGCAAGTTTACAGACTAGCAGAGAGAGAGAGAGAGCACGCCAGGGAGTGGCCTTTTATTAGGGAACACGAAATTCAGGGAAAATTCCATCCAATGAAGGTCGAGGGGGACAGCATTCCAAGGTCAGGGTCAGTGATTGGTCTCAGGGTCAATGGTCAGTCACACCCTCACACGGATGGGCTCTCGCACCTAGAGAGGGTGGGGATTAGTTCCGACTCAGCTTAGCCAGAACGCCTCACACCCAATCAGGGAGGTGCCCAATCATGTGCGAGAATGGCTTCCCACACCCCGCAAACCGGCAAACCCTCTGCCTGGTGAGCTTCACGCGTCTCACCCCAGCCTCCTGCCACTTGGCTTGCAGCACACAGCGTGGGCAGAGAGCAGGGCAGTCTGGGCTCACGGAGAGGCCCACACTTGGATCTGCTGAGTGAGAGCCCTGCAGTCTGCTGCCACATGCCGACGTGGAGGGAGGTTTGGTTTCTCTGCATAGTGACTCCATTGCTCTGGGCTATGGTGCTGCAGAAGAACCTCAGGCAGAAGGAAGTGGTGGAGGAAAGTGGCTCAGGACACGACACAAGGATACAGAGAGAGAGACTAAGCTCTGCTCATCAGGGACAAAATATACCCCAAAGGAACCCACCTCCTACAGCCACACCCTACCTGCTAATTACCACCCAGGTCATCCCTATCAGGATCAATGTGCTGGTAGGTTGCATCTCTGATAAGATAATCAATCACTTCACCTTTAAATTTTCTTGCAGTGTCTCACACATCAACTCTTGGAGGACACCTTAATCCAAACAGCCACGGACATCCAAAACTCCCTGTGACCAAAACAGGTGATTCGTCATCTTCCAGCTGCCATGTGCCCTGCCCAGTGATGACACAATCAAATCATGGTACCTGGAGAGGTCTCCAGGGTTCTTAAGATCCACCTGTCACTGGAAAAAGGGGGCCAGGACTGCCACAGCTTCCTGTTTCTGTGGAACAGAGACAGTGAATCTGGCCAGCGTTCACTGAGCTGGCCTTGCTCCACCCCAGGTGACTTGATGGGACCTCGGTGCCCATGCTTACCAAGGAAGAACCTGTTTTTTTTTTTTTTGCCAGGGAGGGCCACTGGCAAACAAGGACACGGTGTGTTGGCCTAACTTCTCAGCTCAGGGAGGCCTCTGAGCCATAGCCAGACCCCTGTGGCCTGGGCACACTTGGCAGAGGAGAAGGAACTTCATCCAGCAGCTGCTGATTTTCAAAGCTGTAGAAGGCATCTCCTGCAGGCCACAGGTGGGGCAGGATTCAGGGCACTTGCAAGCTTGAACTAGGTAGGAAATGACATCTTCTGTTTGGTGACCTCATTTGCAATCCAGCGTGTCCTTCAGTGACGAATGCCGTGATCTCTCAGCATCGGAGGGGAACTGGTTCCAGGATACCTTTCCCTGACGGATACCAAAACCCACGGAGGCTCAAGTCCTTTATATGAAATGTTGTAATGTTTGTGTCACCTACAAACACCCTTCCATACACTTCAAATCACCTCCGGAGTCTGTACAGTACTCAGTACACCGTAAGCGCCATATAAATGATCGTCAGGCTGTACTTCTTAGGGAACAGTGACAAAGGAAAAAAGCCTGTGCTTTCAGTATGAACATGAGTTTTAAATTTTCACTGTTGTCAATCCTAAAACGTGGAACCCATGGGCACAGAGGGCTGGCTCCACATGTGACAAACCCCAGTGTATTAGCAGTGCCTGGGGCAGTGGAAACCACAGATCTTTCCAGGCGAGTCATAACCGCAGCAGGAATTGCAAAGCGTCTATCTCCAGGCTCATCACAGCTGCAGCGCCGTGGTTTACGAGACCCCCCGCCATATCATGTTATTGAAAAATTAATAGAGAAGTGCTTCACTGACAAATTAATATTTGT